GTTCCCGTAAAACACTTTTAAGGTATTTCTCTCGGTTAGTGCTGCTTTCCTCCATGAGTCTTGTTCCCCAGAGACCTTTAAAATAATAATGAAAAAAAGAAAAGATGTCATTTTATTTAAGAAATCTCATGAATGGCAAAAGGGAAAATAAAGAACAAACTAAACAGTATCACCTGTAAGCGAGAGTCTCCTTTTTTTTTTTTTTAATCACATTTTGAATGCAACGAGAAACTGGTTTTGTAGGCCTACCTTTTATTTAAGGGTACATCTGGCTCCACTGTTACCCCAAACATGCAAAACATAAGGCAACAATCCTGATCATTTTATAGGCTCCCAAGCCCATTAGGAGTATCTTAGTCCAATTTTAAAAAGAGAACAGGAAATAAGGAAGGCCTAACAGAGGAGTTAAATAATTGTGCAAAACTTATCAGTTCTTCCCATTTGAGGTGGATACAACCCTGTAATTATCCTACTACTAAACCCAGTTAAGAACATGATGTAACTGTATTTCAAGTAATACCTTTTAGGTCACCCCTGATGAAAAGAAGTCCTTGTTGGAGAATCATTTCAATATAGAAACATGTTATGCTTCTAACCCACAGGCATAAAAGCTCTGCTCTGTAAGAGCAGAAGCTGTCCTATTAAAAAACTCCATGGTGACTGATTACACTAAGCGTGCTTGGCTTAGCAGATTTTTAAAACAGCAATTAACATACAATCTTTAAAAGCAGCAACTCATCCATGTTCCCTCTCTCTCTGTAGAAAGGGTAGAATCAGCAACCATGTTCTACATTTTAGCAGATGGAAAAAGCGTTGGGCTGGCTGAGTGAAGATGACGTAACCCTCCCTGAGCTTGCTGGAGAGAGTGACCGCAGTTTTGGACTCAGCCAGCAGCAGACATGGTGGTCATCATCCAAACCCCTGTTAATGAACAGTGTGGTAAAGTCACATTGCTGGTTACTTGGAAGAACCTTAACATTTTCCAAAAAAGACAAACCTCTCAATCCTTTCAGTTACATTAGGTTGGCTGTTAAATGGAAACCAACCTGGTCCCTGCATGTTGTCTCACACTTTGATTCCACAGACCTTAACTCCTTCAATAATGGAAACTCACACAGCCACTTTCACCATAATCAAGCCACACAGAGAAATGGGAAAAAGAGCATAAGGTCTTTTACTAAGAAGAAATGAGTTCATGATTAGTGTTCATGTATTTTTTAAGTCTTATAATAATATATATGTTCTATTCCTGAATTTGGGTATTCCCTTTCCTTTTCTTTTTTCCTCCCAAATGTCCTTTAGGAAAATCAGCACTGAATTCAAAAACACTGTGTTACGCATCATACGTTTCACCAACACTGAGAGTGGAGTATAACTTATGACCAACTTTGCTTCTGCCAAGATCTGGTAGTTGTCAGGGAATTACTCACTCAGAAGAAATGCAGCAAGCAGAATGTTTGTTCACTGAAACACTATCATACTAAAGAATTATTACAAATTTAGATGACACGGAAAATTACAACTTAAAATAACACAGAGGCAGCCAAAGATTAGGCTCGGTAGCCCTGGACACCAACACACCACTGCTTTGGGTAAATTTTTTTTTGGAGGCCAGGCCTAAAATATACGTCAACAGAAACTGCTCGTCTCTTTACTCCCAGGGAAGACTGTTGCCCTGTCTCACTTGGTCAATGATTTCATTGTCTCTCATGGTTTATAAACAACTAGGCACTAAGGAACAGCCATGATTCTTAATATTTATACATGGTATTGCTTGGCCTATAAATAGAAAAAACAAACTCCTATCAAATTTTCTTCAAGCTAGGCTGGGTGCGGTGGCTCATGCCTATAATCCCAGCACTTGGGAGGCTGAGGCGGGTAGATCACTTGAGGTCTGGAGTTCGAGACCAGTCTGGTCAACATGGTGAAACCCCGTCTCTACTAAAAATACAAAACTTAGCCAGGTGTGGTGGTGGGCACCTGTAATCCCAGCTACATGGGAGGCTAAGGCAGGAGAATCGCTTGAACCCGGGAGACAGAGGTTGCAGTGAGCCAAGATCACACCACTGCACTCCAGCCTGAGTGACAGAGTGAGACTTCATCTCGAAAAAAAAATAATTTATTCAAGTTAAACTTGTGATGGCCGATGGCAATTTAATTCTAGCCTTTGAATGAAACATTTCAAATGGAAAGAAACAAGTCCTCATATGTATGTATGAATTTATTTATTTTGAGGCAGGGTCTCTCTCTGTTACCCAGCCTGGAGTGTAGTGATGCAATCACAGCTCACTAAAGCCTTGACCTCCTGGGCTCAAGCCACCCTTCCACCTCATTTTTTGATTTTTCACAGAGATGAGGTGTCAATATGTTGCCCAGGCTGGTCTCGAATTCTCGGCCTCAAGTGATCCTCCTGCTTCAGACTCCCAAAGTGCTGGGATTAGAGGCATGCCACTGCACTCGGCCTCCCTTATTTATATTTTTATATTATATACCTCCATATATTTTCTTTCTTTTTTTCTGTCTTTTTTTTTTTTTTTGAGACAGAGTCTCACTCTATCACCCAGGCTGGAATACTCTGGCACAATCACGGCCCACTGCAGCCTTGACCACCTGGGCTCAAACAATCCTCCTGCCTCAGCTCAGCCTCCCAAGTAGCTTAAACTACAGGCACATACTGCCAAATCCAACTAAGTTTTTAATTTTTATAGATGTGGGGTCTCACTACATTGCTTAGGCTGGCCTCAAACTCCTGGGCTCAAGCAATCCTTTCGCCTTGGCCTCTCAAAGTGCTGGGATTACAGATGTGAGCCACTGTGCTTGGCCCTGTGTATTTTCTTTTTCTAAATTACTCTATCTACTTCCTCAAATATTTACTGCTTTAAATTTTTCATCCCATTTTCCCACTGGGTGTGTATTAGGACCAATCTTAGGGTACAAGGACCTTTTACATCCGGATGGGTGAGAAATAGTTGCATCTACAAGTAGGAAAAATAGCTGTCCTGCAGCCAACTATTCTCCATGTTTGGCAGAGCTGTTAGGATAAGAATGGTTAAGGACGGAATCATGTGCAAATTGATGACATTCTTCAAAATCAACTGTTGTCTTTCCCACAGCTGTTCTAGTTGTGGTGGGAGTAACTTCCCAGCACTGCAGGTATTCAATGTTTCCAGCTGTTAGGGAGAACACGGAATGAGTATAGACCCAACTTCCTTTAAGAGGGTGCTTAGCTAATGCCAGAATGCAAAGCCAGAGTACATCATCTAAAGCACGGTCCCCAGTCCCCAGGCTGCAGATGGGTACTGGTCCATGAACTGTTAGGAACCGGGCTCCACAGCAGGAGGTGAGCTGCAGGCGAGCAAGCTTTACCGCCGGAGCCCTGCCTCCTGTCAGATCAGCGGTGGCATTCGATTCTCACAGGAGTGACAACCTTATTGTGAACTACGCATGTGAGGAATCTAGATTGCCCGCTCCTTGTGAGAATCTCACTAATGCCTGATGATCTGAGGTGGAACAGTTTCATCCCCAAACACTTCCCACCCCAGGTCTGTGGAAGAATTGTCTTCCATGAAACTGGTCCCTGGTGCCAAAAAGGCTGGGGACTGCTGATCTAAACAGTGCATTCCTCTGCACAATGTTACTTCTTAATATGAACACTGGGGAACTCTGTAATGGAGAACTCCAAGCACAAAAGATATTCCAAACATAAATAGTTGGCTTTGAACAAAAATGTCATTTCCCCAACTATTTTATCTAAACCCTTTCAAAGACTTTTTATTGGCTGGGCACGGTGGCTCACGCCTGTAATCCCAGCACTCTGGGAGGCTGAGGTGGGTGGATCACCTGAGGTCAGGGGTTTTGAGACCAGCCTGACCAACACGGTGAAACCTCGTCTCTACTAAAAATACAAAAGTTAGCTGGGTGTGGTGGCGAGCTACTCGGGAGGCTGTAATCCCAGCTACTCGGGAGGCTGAGGCAGGAGAATCGCTTGAACCCGGGAGGCGGAGGCTGCAGTGAGCCGAGATCACACCACTGCATTCCAGCCTGGGCAACAAGAGTGAAACTCTGTCTAAATAAATAAATAACTACAACTTTTTATTTTAGAAAATATCAGAAATATCACAAAGAGAGAATGATATAATGACAAATCTATCACCTAGATCCAACAATCTCAACTCAATGCCAATCCTAGTTCATTTACATCCTCACCCATCTGATGCCACTGCTGATCTGACAGGAGGTAGTAATGCTCACTAGCCTGCTGCTCACCTCCTGCTCTGCGGCCTGGTTCCTAACAGGTCACAGACCATTACCACCCCAATTATTTTAGAATTAATTCCAGCTATTGTATCACTTTATCTGTTAATATTTCAGTTCCATGGTTAAAAGGTTAATTGTGGATCTTTCACCTCACACTACCCTGCCCCATCTGAAATACATGAAACCCATATGGCCTATTATCAAGGCATGGTGCAACGCAGGGCTTTGGAGTCAAATGATATTAAACTGAGGGCTTAACCACTTGGGAGCTGAGAAAGCTTACCTGACATCATGAGCCTCCGCTTCCTCATCTAAAAATGAAGTAAGAGTACCTTTTTGTGGGGTTGTCCTTGGGAATTAGAAATATTACTTGTGGAGCACTTAAGAGTGCTTGGAAGCGGCCTGTCTGTAGCTTCAGAAACAAGCCCAGATCTGCAAAATGGCCTTTTGGAGGCCCAGTTGGTCCAGATTTCAGAGTGGTATAAAGACTCAAATCCGTATGAACTATCAGTTCATTGTGATGGCCTGACCAAATTCTCAGTGTATTTATATCATAAAAGAATCCTCTTTTTGTGCTAAGACACATGTGAGTTTCATTTACAAGAATGAATACAATCCTTCCTAGTATTCATTTGAATTGTAGGGACACTTTTAAAAAGGGAAGTGGCTTTTATCTATATTTGTCCATTTTCTATAGAAAAGACAGTTGCTACCTTAAGTAATATTGACTCCTGAATCTTGAATTTCTTTTTTTTCTTCTCTTTTTTTTTGAGACAGTGTCTTGCTATGTTGCCCAGGCTGGTCTCGGATTCCCAGGCTCAAGCAATCCTGCCGCCTCAGTCTCTTAAGCAGCTGGGATTAAAGGTGTGTGCCACCGTGCCTGGCCTGAATCCTGAATTCTTAATCAGTCATCTCCTGAGGTGCAGACAAGTATATGCTACAGTTAACATGTAGTTCTACCTGCATATTCTCTAGAGAGCTCACACTCACCTCCCCAAAAATTTGTTTCTTTTTCTTTCTCTGAAAATCTACTCTTTCTGTCTGGGTTAATGGTACCATGCCAGAAATTTGGGTTTCACCCTAGAATAGGCCTTCTTCTTATCCCTCCCATGGAGTTGGTTCCACAGTTCTGACGGTTTTTATTTCTCTTCTACCTAGCTTCTTTCCATTGCAGCTCATATGCCTTGGTTCCAGCCCTCGTCACCCCTCCTCCTCTTGGTCAGCCCTCTCCTGACCTAGTCTGTCGGCCGCCAACCTATCCACCTCACCCTATCCTCTACACTGGCCACTAACCTATCCACCTTACCCTGTCCTCTACACTGGCCGCCAACCTATCCACCTCACCCTATCCTCTACACTGGCCACTAACCTATCCACCTTACCCTGTCCTCTACACTGGTCACCAACCTATCCACCTCACCCTGTCCTCTACACTGGCCACCAACCTATCCACCTCACCCTGTCCTCTACACTGGTCACCAACCTGTCCACCTCACCCTATCCTCTACACTGGCCACCAACCTATCCACCTCACCCTGTCCTCTACACTGGCCACCAACCTATCCACCTCACCCTGTCCTCTACACTGGCCACTAACCTATCCACCTCACCCTGTCCTCTACACTGGTCACCAACCTATCCACCTCACCCTGTCCTCTACACTGGCCACTAACCTATCCACCTCACCCTGTCCTCTACACTGGCCACCAACCTATCCACCTCACCCTGTCCTCTACACTGGTCACCAACTTATCCACCTCACCCTGTCCTCTACACTGGCCACTAACCTATCCACCTCACCCTGTCCTCTACACTGGTCACCAACCTATCCACCTCACCCTGTCCTCTACACTGGCCACTAACCTATCCACCTCATCCTATCCTCTACACTGGCCACCAACCTATCCACCTCACCCTGTCCTCTACACTGGCCACTAACCTATCCACCTCACCGTGTCCTCTACACTGGTCACCAACCTATCCACCTCACCCTGTCCTCTACACTGGCCACTAACCTATCCACCTCACCGTGTCCTCTACACTGGTCACCAACCTATCCACCTCACCCTATCCTCTACACTGACCTAGTCTGTCAGCCGCCAACCTATCCACCTCACCCTATCCTCTACACTGACCTAGTCTGTCGGCCGCCAACCTATCCACCTCACCCTATCCTCTACACTGTTGCAAGAGTCATCTTCAGATTGACAAGTGATCATATCAGCCCCCTAAGCTTGAAGCCCATACTTGCTCCAACTGTCTACAGGAAAATGTGCCCATTCCATGGCGGGAGTTACAGGTTTGCTGTAACAGGAACAGGTCTTGTTCCTGTTATTTTTCCCTCCTTGTATTCCCCCCTCATTCTTCAAAATGTAGCTCAAGTTTTATTCTCTATGGAAACCTTCTCTGACCTCTCCAGGTAGATCTGATCCTCTCTCTCTCTCTCCCTTTTTTTTTTTTTTAGATACAGGCTGTCACTCTGTCACCCAAGCTGGAGTACAGTGGTGTGATCACAGCTCACTGCAGTCTCAATCTCCCAGGCTCAGCTGATTCCCCCACCCCAACCTCCCAAATAATTGGGACTACAGGCATGTGCCATCCTGCCTGGCTAATTTTTGTATTTTTTGCCACTCACTACGTTGCCCAGGGTAGCCTTGAACTGCTAGGCTTAAGTGATCCTCCCATCTCAGCTTCCCAAAGTGTTGGGACTACAGGCATGAGCTGCTGTGCCTGGCCTGATCCTCCCTTTGTTGGAATCCTCCCATATCTGGGAACTGGCATTGCAATGACTTACTTATACCTCTGTTTTCTCTACTAAACCCTGAGGTCCTTGAAGGTTGAGACCTTGTACTATTCATCTCTGCATCCCTAGTACCTATCACAAAAGAAAGTCCCATAAAAGTTTTTTACTGCATGAATTCTGTTACCGGCACAACCTTATCATAACCCCAAGGGCAGCAAGCCTCCCTCAAAAAAATCCCCAGAGTAATGAAAATACAAAGTCTGCTTGTTCAAAATTATGGTGCAAATAAAAAAGGAAAGGGAGGAAGTGATGGAGTAAAGTTCAGATTAAAAATAAAGGGAAAGTCACAACAGTCAAAAGGTGGAAAAAAACCATAAATGCCCACGAACTGATGAATGGATAAACAAAATGTGGTGTGTGTGTACATATGAACGCAAACTTCCTTTTTACGACCGAATAGGATTTCACTGTGTGTGCACAATGTGTGTGTACACACACAATGAAATCCTATTCGGTCGTAAAAAGGAAGGAAATTTTCACGCATGGATAAACCTTGAAAATATTATGCTAAGTGAATAAGCTAGACACAAAAGATCAAACATGGTCTGATTTCACTTATATCAGGTAGCTAGAATAGGGAGACTCACAGACAGGGAAAGTAGAACGGAGGTTACCTGGGACTAGGGCAAGAGGGAATGGGGAAACAGGGAGCTATTGTTTAATGAGTACAGAGTTTCTGTTTGGGATGATAAAAGTTCTGGAAATAAATTGCGTTAAGTCCATTTACATAATATAATAAATCTACTTAATGCTACTCAATTATGTACTTAAAATGGTTAAAATGGCCAACTTTATGTTATATATATGTCACACCAATTTAAAAAAAAAATTATAGAGAGGCAGGCTCTCCCACTCCCTAGATCAATTAGAATTCTGGATACATGGACTGTGTTGGTATGATTTATCCTGCAATGCCCTAATAAATAAATGTTCATAAACTAAAGAGATGCAGACAATTGCTGGCTAAAGTTAGGTTTGGGCACTACTGGCATACAGCACAGTGGATGAGAAACACTTTGAACACAAAGTGCCTGGAATTAAGTCCTGACTGCAACATCTACTAGTTGTGGCCCTGGGCAAGTCATTTAACCTTTAGAAGGCTTAGTGCCCTCAACAGTGAAGTGGTGATGGATGATAGTTCTTTCTTCACAGGTTGTTGTGAGGATAAAAATGACACTATGAATATAAGGATTTTAACACAGTGCCTGGCACACAGTGAGTAATAAACCATTATTTCTTTTTGAATTTAACAGTCTGGGGCAGGGTTTCTCAAAGTCCTCACTCCTGGTAATTTGGGTGGGAGAATGCTTTGTAGGGTGTGTGGCGGGGACTGTACTGTGCATTGTAGATTAGTAGCATCCTTAACCTCAAACCAGGAGATGCCAGGGGCATCCCCCCAGGTATGACAATCAAAAATATCTCCAGAGATTGCTAAATGTCCCCTGAGGGGCAAGATTGCCCCTCCCCTCCATTGAAAAGCTGTAATTTAGGATAATGCTCTTCTGGTGACGACCTAAGACTAAGTTCTGAAGCCTCAAGACAGGCTAAATTCATGAGTCACTGTGTATAGACTATCACTAGCAGCAACTAAGAACGGTGAGTTGGATGTTTGCAGTTTCTGTGGGGTAGCATCAACTAAAGCCAAGTTCAAATCTTTTTTTAAGTTTCAATAACTTTTCCAATAATTAGTTATGCTTCCCTTTAGACATCAAAAGGGAAGGCAGAAAAAATAAAAATTGCATAAAGTGTGGCAAAATAAAATAACTGCACTGGAGGTCACTTATTAAACACAATCAGCACACACACCAATTTCAATGTCAAGACCCAATTATTTTAGAAGAAATAAGAGTCGACTTACTATTTCATTTGAGTCTGAGCACTAATAAGGCCATCGCTAGCCATCTATTGAAATTCATTTTTTCCCTCCTGGGCACATGCCTACATTACATTTTCCAGCCTCCCTTGTAGGTATCCTTGGCTAAATAATTAAGAACTTTGCCAATGGGTCATGACTGAAAGTGATGTGGGCCATTTCTAGGACAAGGCCTTTAAGGAAACAGCAGTGGCAAGCCTTCTTCACACTCTCCACCAGAACCTACATGTGGCTGTTAAGCCACGACCACAGAGGCAATGACAGGGCCCTGGGAGAGCCAGCAGGGAAGAAGCCTGGATCCCTTAATAACCATATGGGGGAAAGCTGCTGCTAACCTGGAATACCCTCTCCGAAATGTTACATGAGCAAAAAATTAACTTCTTGTTCTTCAGGGTACTGAAGGGGAGGGAGGTATCTGTTTTAGCAGTTTGGCCTACCCTTACTTGTACAGCTGGTACTTCATAGTTTCTCTAGAAAAAACAACAAAAAAAAAGCCCAAGAATATATGCCTAAAATAACAAACAGGAACTGACTTTAACAGGTTGATACATTCAGAAAAATATTCAACTTCTGAAATTCAGAAAATTTTATGACTCAGAGTGCCACATTTTATCTTTGTACTGAAAGAATTTGTTAAGAAAAGAATAAACAAATACCTGAGGATACTTTTAAGTCTGCGCTTCGTCTTTAAATCTTTTTTTTTTTTTTTTTTTTTTTTTTTGAGACGGAGTCTCGCTCTGTGGCCCAGGCTGGAGTGCAGTGGCCGGATCTCAGCTCACTGCAAGCTCCGCCTCCCGGGTTCACGCCATTCTCCTGCCTCAGCCTCCCGAGTAGCTGGGACTACAGGCGCCCGCCACCACGCCCGGCTAGTTTTTTGTATTTTTTAGTAAAGACGGGGTTTCACCGTGTTAGCCAGGATGGTCTCGATCTCCTGACCTCGTGATCCGCCCGTCTCGGCCTCCCAAAGTGCTGGGATTACAGGCTTGAGCCACCGCGCCTGGCCTCTCTTCAATCATCCTTGGCTTCCTTTGCTGGCCCTCTTCACCTCCTTTCTGGCTGCCTCCCACAGGTCTTCTTGCCTCCTGTCTTCCTCTGCCAAGCTCTCCTGTACGCCATGCTGCTGACTCAATTTCCTTTCAGCATGTTCTGTTCCTGCTCAGAAACTTTCAACTCCTTCCTAATATTTAGGGATACATTCTCAATTCCTTGATGAGATACAATGCATCCTGCAAACAGGCCTCAAACATGTCTTCTTTACTATTTTACTTCCACTTAAGAAGATAGATCTATCTACTGTAGAAGCAGCAAAATCGACCATTTGTCCATCTTGGATTCATATCATTAAACAATAAACCAGAGCATGGTGAGGCTAGAAGGGACCTTGGAGGCTAGGTTCAACTCCTCCATTTTATAAATGAGGAGCTCAGGCTCAGGTAGTCTGAGTGAGTCATACGAAGTCCCACAGGCAAGAGACTTCCAGGGAAACTGACCACTCCAAACTTCCGTCATTTCTCCTACCTTTAAAAATTGCAAGTTACTTTCTGTTCTGACCCTAGGGCACTGCTTACATAGCGCATATAAGATTTCTGTCATCAGTATTCAAAGGGGGCGGGGGGAATCTCAACCCATTCATGGCTACTTATTTTACCTTTCTGGGTTTTCGTCCCTAGGAAAACAGTGATATGCTATTCTAGTTTATTTCTTCATAGCAGCTAGCACAGTGCTATCTTCACAGTAGGTGCTAAATATTTAACAAATGTGCTTATTGAATAAGTGACAAGAATATCAATTATATTTCTTCATAAAAGGAATAACAATTTATTTAAGAATTTTATATAATTAAAACTCTTCAGGTAGGAGCAGCAGCTTGCACCTGTAATCCCAACTACTTGGGAAGCTGAGGTGGGAGGGCAGCTTGAGCCCAGGAGTTTGAGGCTGCAGTGAGCTACTTTCACTTCCCCGCACTCCAGCCTCGGTGACAGAATGAGACCCTGTCTCTTAAAAAAAAAAAAAAATTCCTGAGTCCTGAGTCTGCTCGCCTACAAATCAGACCACTGACACGCTTTCACTAGAGGTTTTATGACTAGGAGCTTACTCATTTTGTTTCCTGAAATTTTTCTTTAAAAGAAATAAATTTACATACATACTCATATGAAATATATATTTTATTTCTCTATATTCTATTATTAAGTTTATTCAAACAAAGTTAGGTGTGTTATCAAATTCTTAAACTGAGTTAAAAGGATCATGCAACTTACCATTATTTATTAACTTAAAAGGAACTTCTGTTTCACTTCAGTGAATATTTTTTAAATGCACATTTTAAATGGTGTAAAATAACATATAATTTAATTAATCTAGTTTTGAACCTTAAAAAGTGTGTTTTATTAATCATTAACCTACTAACACAGGTTATCCAAAAAGGATCTTTTGTTCCCCACCATGCCTTGAATTAACTAGTGTAAGTACCTCCATAAAAGAAGTACCAAAATGTTTACATGTATATTTCTGAAGTGCTAACACATGGCAAATACACGCTGCACATTTTGTCTTCGCTCATTTAATTCTCTCAACGAGTCAAGGACTAAGCGTTATGATCATATCTTTAAAAAACAAAAACCAAAAATCGGGGCTCAGAGAGGTTAAGTAACTTGCTCAAGGTCATACAGCAAATGAGTGGTGGAACTGGGATTATTGTGTAGGCCTGACCTGGTTTTAATCACATTGCTGTAACAGCACCTGGATTGTTTTTGTGCAAGACTTTCAAAACTGACATAAGGGGAAGAACAAGAAAAACTCAAAACAACTGAGAATGGAAACT